TTTTTTTTTCTTTGGGACAGCTTTAGTTGCTACCTCTTGTACAATGTTGCGAATCTCCTTCCATAGTTCTTCAGGCACTCTGTCTATCAGATCTGATTCCTTAAATCTATTTGTCACCTCTACTGTATATTCATCAGGGATATGATTTAGGTCATACCTGAGTGGCTTAGTGTTTTTCCCTACTTTCTTCAATTTAAGCCTAACTTTTGCAACAAGAAGCTCATGATCTGAGCCACAGTCAGCTCCTGGTCTAGTTTTTACTGACTGTATAGAGCTTCTCCATCTTTGGCTGCAGAGCACATAGTCAATCTGATATCTGTGCTGACCATCTGGTGATGTCCATGTGTAGAGTCGTCTCTTGGGTTGTTGGAAAAGAGTGTTTGCTATGACCATCGTCTTCTCTTGACAAAATTCTACCAGCCTGTGTCCTGCTTCATTTTGTACTCCCAAGGCCAAACTTGCCTGTTCTTCTGGTTATCTTTTGGCTTCCTACTTTAGCATTCCAATCCCCCATGATGATAAGGACATCATTTTTGGGTGTTAATTCTAGAAGGTGTTGTAGGCCTTCATAGAACTGGTCAACTTAAGCCTCTTCAGCTCCAGTGGTTGGGGCATAGACTTGGACTATTGTGATGCTGAATGGTTTTCCTTGGATTCGAACTGAGATCATTCTGTCATTTTGGAGGTTGTATCCCAGTACTGCTTTTCCTACTCTTTTATTGACTATGAAGGCTACTCCATTTCTTCTGAGGGATTCTTGCCCACAGTAGTATACCTGATGGTCATCTGAATTAAATTCACCCATTCCTGTCCATTTTAGTTCACTGATCCCTAAGATGTTGATGTTCAGTCTTGTCATCTCTTGTTTGACCACATCCAGCTTGCCCTGATTCATGGATCTTACATTCCAGGTTCCTATGCAGAATAGATCTTTACAGCATCGGACTCTCCTTTCACCACCAGACGCATCCAGAGCTGAGTGTCCTTTTGGCTTTGACCCAGTCGCTTCATTCTTTCTGGCGCTACTAGTACTAGCCCTCTGCTCTTCCCCAGTAGCACATTGGACACCTTCCGACCTGAGAGGCTCATCTTCTGACATCATATCTTTTTGGCTTTTGGTACTTTCCATGGGGTTTTCATGGCAAGGATACTGGAGTGGGTTGCCATTTCCTTCTCCAGTGTTTGGGTTAGGATACGGTTAACCCAATTTCCATCTCTTCAGACTGATTTGAGCCTTTAAAGCAAAGGGACATGAAGGGGGAAAAAAAAACCAGGGCAGTTCCACAGGGACGACTGAGAAACCGCCTCCATGCCCCACATCTTCCCTCTCCGTCCCCAGTGTCATGACTTGTTGGACGGCAAGGCTGTGTGTGCAGGGACTGTCTGGTGTCTATGGACTGCACCTTGCACCTTTGCACCACTGAACAGCAGTTCCTCGGCATCTGGGAGCAGGGAATGAGGCTTCCCGATCTGCCTGGCGGAACCCCAGGTGAACTTGCTGCGCAGCGAGCCTCTCAATGGGGTGTCCCAGGGCACTTGAGTGCCTGAGGCAAGGGCAATGCCCTCTTGCCGTTGCCTCCAGACCCACCCAGAGAAGCCAGCCAACTGCTGGCGCAAGACTGGCCGGAGAGTGCCCTCCGCCACCCCCAAGGGCAAAACGCCAGTGTGGGAAGTGGTAGGCAGGCTGCCAACGGTCCTCTGGCATGGTCACCCCCCAGCTGTTGCTTGGGTATCTTCTGCTTTCCCCCCACCCTATGGTGGGGCCGGCCCCACTTCAGAGCACATGGCTAGGACTCCTCACCTCCTCCAAGCAGCGCGCTTCCTCCTGGTCATTCTCCTTCACAAACTCCTCCAGCGGGTATTTTAGCCTTGGGAACGGTGCAATGGGCCAGTCAAAGGAAGGGATGTCCAGTTTGTGAATGGCTTTAGAATGTGTGGTGGCCAAGCAACCTAGAGGAAGCAGGGGCACAAATGGTCAAGAAGCATTTGCACGGTGGCTCCCTCAGGCTGGAGATGGGGAAGAAGCCCAACCAATATCAAACGGGCCCAGGTTTCTAAAAGACGTGAACTGTGGATTTCACAGAAGACCGGCTTTTCCAGAGTCATGTGAATGTGATGAACTCAAGGACTATTTCTTAGACTTTTGGGTGTGGGCAGGGGGATTTGTGAAAATTCACACTTGTGCTAAGGTGCAAATAATGGATTGCACTAATGAACAGACAAGGGAATCAAAAATGCCTGACAATCACAAAACAAGTTGACATGGATTTAATAGAATCCGCACCTCCACCTGCACTCAGAAATGGCGCAGGCCACATGCCATCTCAAGGCCGCCTTTGTGGTACAATGTGGCCAGAGCAACACACAAAATGGGGAGCATGGAACAGAGAGTACCAATTCAGTCTATAGGTGGGGGATCCTGTTTTTGCATGCTCTGTTCTTACACGAAAACAAAGAAAGTGCACAGCTGCTTGCAGGAAGAAAACTAGAACGATGGGTAAAGAGAGACATTCAGTCCCCCACCCTGCTCTGCAAGGCTTCTACTTGCAGGAATTTCCTCTAACCTGCAGCAGCATTAAAAAATAATGCCTGCACCAGCTCTCTGTGGTCACGCAGTGCATTCTACCTCTCCAGGACTCTCCCGTCCGCTTCTGCTGTCCAGCCTCACCTGCTGTCAGGACTTGTTCAAGAACCCAGCAAATGGTGGCCTCTTCCTCTGGTGGCCCCATCCCAGGAGCAGTGGCCGCAATGCCACTGTCTGAACCAGCTGGCAGCCAGCCGCCTGCCACCTGAATGACCCAGGATGCCCCTGGGTAGCCTCACTCCAGAGACCTGTGAGTAATCAAAGCAGCACCCCACATGCCACCGGAGCCGGCCTTTTCATTTCACTCCACAGTCACATTACTCGGGGGCTTCGAGAGAGTTCAAAACAGTGGCGCCTACACCCCAGCTCAGCATCGCATTGCGGTGGCCCACCTGGCTGAGATGTTAGGGAGGGTGCCAGACCTGCCTGGTGAACCCCCACGCAGGTAGGTCAGCATGCCCAGGAAGGGAGGGAATGTCTCCTTCAGCCGGAGACGCTCCTGGGTGCCACATTTTCGCAGTGGGTGGGCTGAAGCCTAAAGGGCCACAAAACACCAGCAAACTAGCCCAAAGCTCTTACTGGCAGTCACTCGGCCTCGGGAGGGAAAACAACACAAGAACTGGGAACTCTTCAGGACTGGAGGCTGGGGCAGAGTGGATGGGCCAGAGGAGTGGGGGAGCCATGGCCGTCCAAGCATCCTGATGGGTCCCCCAAGATCTCAGGAGAAGCAAATTTGCCCCTGGGGCCAGAGGTTCTCCTCCCCTGGGCTAAGCACAACACCGTGCATCACTCCAAACAGGCCTTTCTTATTTCTGTGGTTGTTTTTCTTAATGCAACCTTGTTCCCATGCACCATGTTTCAAGACAATTTCACTATTTATTGAACCTCTACGTCAACCAATGGGCCATGGCACTTTGCAGCCACTCATGACAGAAGTACAAACATATACATAGATAATAAAATACAATAACATTCAGCAAAATGTTACAAAATGCAAGTTGAGCATACACAGCACAACTAATTTTCAGTGAAAACAAGATAAGCCATGGTACAGTTCCTGTCTACCGCTCATGTACCATTCTACACGACTCTGGTGTACCCGCAGCTGGAGTCCTGCATCCATTGCTGGGCTCCACATTATAGGAGACACAGCTAGGTTAGAATCGGTTCAGTGCAGGGTCACAAGATTGGTAGATAGGTTGGGAGGGATGACAGGTAAGGAGAGACTGGGCGAACTGGGTCTTTTCAGCCTGGGGAAGAGGAGACTCCAAGGGGATAAATATCCCCTTATTTATAACTTTTAACTTACAGGTATGGGAGGGGATGTCATGTGGAGGAGGGCTGTGACCTGATTGTCCCTGCAGTGGAGGGCAGGACGTGTTCCAGTGGGGCAAAGCTCAAGGAACCAGGCTTCAGGTTGGATGCCAGGAAGCACTCCCTGACAGTTAGGACCCCTTGGATATGGAATGGGCTTCCATGGGAGGTGGCTGAAGCCCCATCATTGATGGTGTTCAAGGAAAGATCAGACAAACACGTGTTGGGGATTACACGAGCAGAACCAGGGGGTCAGAGTAGATGGCCTGAGAGGTCCCCTCTGACTTGTTTTGTTTCTATGCTTCTAAAGTGGATTAGACCTTAGAACTGCTCCTTACGCTATGAGTCTGAGAAAGATGGGGGGCGGGGGGAGAATCTGGACTGCATCAGGCTGAAAACAAAGCAACGGGTTCTCCCTGCCTGGTGGCCCACACGCCAACAGAGACCAACCAGTTGACTGCGCCTTACCCATGGTTCTTCCGTGGAACGCACCCATGAAGGAAAGCATGCTGTATTCGGGACAACCTGGGGGCTGAAACCAAAACAGGAAGTTAATATCACAGCGTACTTCAATCTGTCCAGTGCAGGCAGCATCGCTTCCTGCAGAAGGAAATCCTTGGACAGAAAGAAGCTATTTGGCAGGATTTATTTTACAGTATTTTCAGAAATTAGTCCCCTTCTGTTAACACCATTTCAGGGTGGCTTGTGATAAAAATAAAAGCAATGCAAAACAGGAAAGACAACCACAATTTCAGTAAAGCACAAAACTGTCCTCCCCGAACACAGTGAGTTGGGTTCTGAGGTCTTCTGTGGAGACTATGGACATCACTCCATGGCCAAGAATGTGTTGTTGAAGGACAGCACATAAGCACTCCTTCTCCGCAGCAGCACCCACCCTCTGGGAAGCTCACTTGCATGGGGTGCAAGAGGAAGAGCCGGGCAGGCCCAGGACACTCCCTGAAGAGCTGGGAATGCCACAAGTCCCTGTCTGAGCAGGCCAGAATGCCTTGGCAAGCTCTGCGGGACAAAGGCCACCCAGAAGCTACAGAAAAGAAAAGCACACCATGGAGAGAAGGGCCCTCTGGATGCCACACACTTTTCCCATGCAAGAATCCCAAAGTCGAGCCAAGAACCAGCTTTTCACCTGGTTAATCATGCAGGTTTCCAGCTCTTCCTTGGTAACACTGTTGTGTCCTCGTTCTTTGTTCTGAAAAATGAAGACTTTATATTAGTGGTCACAGAAGTCATGCACACAAGAGAGTCCTCAAGTGCAGCCGAGGCTCTCTCTTCCAAGGCGATCACTAAAGGAGAGACAAACAGAAAGATCTGACAGAACCATTCTGTGCACACTCCTGCCCATTCAGTCACTGGTGGCCTGGAGTGAGGGACATCCCAGGCCATGGCTTTTCTTTGGGGGCAGCAGGACAAGGGAGGGCAGCTCCTGGGGGCAGGTGATGGTGGCGTCATGCAGGGTTGGTCCTCAGAGGGCTTCTTGATGTCCCCTGGCAGGGCAGAAGGGAGATATAACAGGCTCCAGTTACAGGAAGCCAGATTTGGGTCAGATATCAGGAAGAACCTCCTGGCTGTCTGAGCAGCACGGCAATGGAACCCATGACCTGGGGAGGAGGTGGGCTCTCCCACACAGGGGGCAATCAAGGTGCAACTGGGCAGCCCTCTGAGGGTGATGCTTCTGTGATCCCATGAAACCTGCTTAGTGTGCCTACATCCAGGACATCCTGGGTGGTGCCAGAGTCTGCAGATTCAGCAAGTGGCTGACTTCATGGTGTGAGAAGAACCCTGAGAGAAAGGATCCCGTGGCCTGATTCGGTGGGTTTCCTCCATCAGGACCGCCTCTTTGGATGCCAGGAAACAAGCTGGGGCTTTCCACATGCAAGGCACACAATCTCCCCGAGAACGGCAGCCCAGCCCTCTGTGTTCGCCCCCCTCCTTCGAGCACAGCCCATCCGTGGCACTCACCCTGTACCACATGAAGATGGTCTTGAAGGCATTTTCATTAGAGCAAGATCCGCAGGACATTGTGATAACCTGTGAGAGGCCCTTAGGAGCCACCTGTCAGTCAGAGAGAAAAGTGGATGTAGCAGAGATGCCTCAAGGCCAGAGAAAGATGCTCATGTCCTACCTTCTTTTGGGGACTGGGACCGGTGCCTCTAAAGCTACCCAGCCCCACTGAGCTACCCGGCCCCTCCACTCGCGTCACACCCTACTGAATAGCAACATATCACCGTCCCATGAGCCATTTGTCTCCCCCAGGAATTCCCCTGAGTAGACACGGAGCTTCACATCAAACCTGAAGACGCCCCCCCCCGCACCTTTTGTCCAGCTTCTCTCCTGGGTTTGGGCCCTGCACTGGCCACCTTCGCTGAACTGCATGGCCTCCCAGTACAAAACGGGCCACAAATTTTTGTCTTAGCATTGTAGCCACTCAGGAATGCTGGAATGTGCTGGCCTTTTGAGACTGCTTTTGTTCTTGGTGTTAAAAGCCATGCCCTTTCAGGGCCGCAGCAAGCCAGGAGCAAGCCCGCCTTTTCTAACCTGATACCAGCACAGGAATGCCTTCTCACAACCTTCAGAAAGATGGTTCAGGCAGAGCCTATGTTGACAGAGCGTGTTGTTCCCCAGCCCGTCCCTTTCCAGAGGTGCCAAGACTACCTCTCCGCTGGGCTTGCTGTCTGGGGGTTAGGGGAGTTGTAGTCTCAATACTTTGGAGGGCGCCAGCCTGGGAAACCCGATCTAGTGATTCAGGAGCCCCTGAACAACCATCTTGGGGGTGCTGAGCCCTCTCCACCTTTGCTGCTCCTGCAGTCTGTTGCTGCATCCACATCTCTAGCAGCAGCAAATGAGAACCAGCGCCGAGCCATCTGCGCAGGTGGAGCTGTGTGGCGAAACGGACCCCCCCGCTCGGTCCACCCAGCTAGGCTCTGCCAATGCGAACAACATCTGCGCCCAGGGTGTCCAGAAGAAATGTCCCAGCCCTGCCAAGAGGAGCCGTGGACTGACCCTGGGAACTTCTGCATGCAGAGGGGCTCTGGCACCGGTGTGCCCCTTCTTGCCCGTCCCCTGAACGCAGAACGTACCGACAGCAGTGATTCCTTTAGCTTTTCCGCAAAGTTTTCCGGAGGCAAGATCCCCAGGGCAGGTCTGTTGACAAAGGTGCTCTGAAAGGAACCCAAATATGCCAAGTGAGGGTCTGGTGCTGCTAGGCGAATGGCCAAGTCGCATCTGGGCCCAACAGGGCTTGGTGGTGGCACTCAGGCTGCTTGAGGCAAGAGCTGCCCCAGTTTTATAGGCAGAGGCTGGGTGGGGCGGGGCCAGCAGAAAAAGGGGCATGGGGTATCAACCACCCCGTGCCCCCCTTTCTGCAGCCTCCCTCTGCCCATGCACATCTCACCCAGCCACAACAATTGCGCCCCCAACCTCCCCTCCTGCAGTTCCCAGTCTAACCCTGCAGGGCCTCGTGCCGCTTGGCCCCCTCACAGGCGCTTCCACCATTTCATAGCTGGAGCCCTCCCTCAAGGCCAGGCAGCTCCTGCTGACGTGTCATTCAACATGCGGTGCCATCAACATCCAGCGCCTGCCCTCTCTCTGACTCACTCAAGTTCCCCTCCTGTCTCTCTCCCATCCCACGCTGTTCTTCTAGAATGTCAGACTGCAGTCCATGAAAATGCTCCTCTGTCCTATTGTGGGAGACGATGCACGTCCTGTGCAGGGAGGGCATGAGCGGCATGTGGAGGCGACCTTGCCCCTCGGCTGCGGCAGCTTGGACGTGGTGGGAGGGAGGCCGGGGTGCCGCCAGTTGCGTCCTGCAGGCCCTGGTCTTCGCCCCTGCACCGTCCCCAGCAAGCCCCCTTGACTCTTCTCCAGCACTGCTCCTGTGACCCCAGGGAAGGCGCCTATGCAGCCACAGCGGGATCCCGACTCAGCCCTCCCACCTCTGCGGTCGGGGCTGCTTTCCGCAGCCTCCGCGATGCGATCCACGGTGCCTCAGGACCCCTCTGCTAGGGAGAGGAAGGGCTGCTGCACACACACCTACGTTTGATTTCTGACGTGCCTGAGAACCTTTTCCGATGGGTGGGCCACTCGCAAGAGGCAGTGGACAAGGTACAAGATTAGAGCGCCACTGGGGTCAGGGGGTGACAGAAGGTAGAATGAGACTGAGTGATAGACCAGAAAGGATTTTCCCACCCCCAACTGCGCAGCAAGAAACACAACTGAAACATTTTCCCCTGTGAATTGCATTGCAGAAAAGAGAAGGAGTATTTCTGGATGAAGCGCTTATGGTGTTTCCCAACCCCGCCTCATTTGTGGAATTTTCTGGGCAGCCTAGAGCTTGCTGTCTGAGATCACTAGCTTTCCCATCTTCCTCTTTAAGAAAGAAAATCCAGGATAGCTGCCTGGCACCTTCTCCTTGGCAGTGCCAAGAGCCCTCCAATGCTTCAGGGAAAAACAGGTGCGGCCTTTTCGGGGTGCTGGGCATGCATTCCTGAGCTGAGCCCATGCTCAAATGCATCCTGTTCCTTCAGGGTTTGCGCTCACCAGCCTGAGGCAGGATTTGGCCTTTGGCTCTGGCTGGTGGATCTGGGGGTTCTCATAAAATCCAAGGAAGCCCTCCTTCAAACTGGAAAGAACCACCTGTACCCCACGTTCTCTAATCCTTTGATCCAAAGGAAGTTGTAGTGCTTTCCAGAAGCAAACACGGCTGCGCATTTTCCAGAATTAGAGACAAGGAAGGCACCATCATGCTAAGGGATTTAAGAGCAGGCAATATTTCCTGAAGCTACAAACAAAAGCATCTTTCCATTGGTCTCTTGGGAAAAAGCCACATACCAGATTCTGCGGTTGCTGTAGAAGTTTTATTAGAGAAGGATGGCTGTATCCTAGAACAAAAGAGACAGACCATTTGAATTTGCTGTTAGGAAACCATGTTTGGGAATCCTACAAGTAGGGGTGTGCAAGAATTTTATTTCCATACACAAATCATGCAAACACATACTCCTCCCAAAGGCATGTGTTTTCTGAGGAACACTAGTGAATTCCTGAATTGGGCAGTTGATGTTGAAAAATGTGTATTTTTTAAAAAAGCACCCCTGAAAACAAATTCTTACATGCTTTGCTCAGTGAGGGGAGGGAGCGTGTACTTTTGGAAAATAAGCCGGGAAATGTGGCTTTTCCCTGTTCAAAATGCACACCTGAATGATCGTCCCCATTTGAATGAGCTGAAATGCAGATCAACATGCTTTTCTGAATGCAGGCAAGCTGAAAAACTGTGGGCTCTCCATCCAGCATTTACAAAAATGGTACATTGTTTTTACGAGTCTTTTCAGCACTTTACTGGTACATGCCCAGGTGCATGCAAACTTTTTGGTTGGAAAGCTCCATTGCAAACTTTTTGTCTTTCTTAGGATACCAGAATTCCTCTGTGCATGTATTGTCGTGAAACTGCAAAATTAGGTGAGTCTGCATTCAAATGCAAAGCAAATGCCAAATATAGCTGTCAACCGACTTCTCAGCCTCCACCCCCACCCTTACTCCCCTTGTCGAAGTGATTTTTAAAGCCATCTAAGATAATAACCAATCCCCTCCTCTCAGAAGGGAACTTCCACCTGAGAGCCTTACCTATAGGGATGGAGGAAATCTGGGAGTAGAGGTCCAGCATACGGTTCCCATCAACATCGACTAGGTAATTCCCTCGGCTCTCCTCATAGTTGCAGAAAAAGTGCACAGCTTCTGCGTTCTGGAAGAGGCAGAAGAAACAGGCTGTGATGCTACACCAGACTGTCACCAGCTTCCAAAGGACACAAGGAGGCCTAGCAATTAGCCTGGCCTTGGTTTTCCTCTTCTTCGCATCCCGGAGTCCACACAGTCTTTAGCATCCCCCACAGCAGTGCCTTGAAGTAGCCAAACATGGTGCAAGGCACAGTCTTTCTTACTTAAGCGTGCTAAAACTGGCCACTTTTCTTTCCCCTCCCAGCTGTCTATGCCAAAGGAAGAATTTACTGCAAAGAACACCTAATGGGGCATAGCAGGTGGGCCGGGGCAAGTTTCAAGCAGGAAACTGGAGAGGTAGCTTAAAATCCTAATAAAAAAGTATCCTAAAAAGCAGAGCCATCAGCCTGCCAACAAAAGTGCGTACAGTCAAGGCTATGGTTTTCCCAGTTGCAATGTATGGCTTTGAAAGCTGGACCATAAGGAAGGCTGAGCGCCACAGGATTGAGGCCTTTGAATTGTGGTGCTGGAGGAGACTCCTGCGAGTAACTTGGACCGCAAGGCATCAAACCGGTCAGTCCTAGAGGAGATCAACCCTGACTGCTCTTTAGAAGGCCAGATAGTGAAGATGAAACTCAAATACTTTGGCCACCCAATGAGAAGGAAGGACTCCCTGGAGAAGAGCCTAATGCTGGGAACAATAGATGGCAAAAGAAGAAGGGGACGGCAGAGGATGAGGTGGCTGGATGGAGTCACTGAAGCAGTTGGTGTGAGCTTGGGTGGACTCCGGGGGATGGTGGAAGACAGGAAGGCCTGGAGGAATGTTGTCCATGGGGTTGCAATGGGTCGGACATGACTTTGAGACTAAGCAACAACAATCCTAAAATCCATGCAGGGAGCACATTCAGGTCAGGTTCTCATGATGGCTGTTCCTTCAAAATAAGAAGGTTTCTCTTTGGATCATTGTAGGCAGGAAGGCCTCAAAGAAGGATGGGCAACCTTTCTTCTCTTGAGCATCACACTCCCTTGTGGTGATGCTCAAGAGATGCCCGAGGACAATCTTGGGCTGCATCTTGATGGCGAGCAAGGTCAAGTATCCCAGTACCATGGGCATTTTTTGCCAGAAAGCTGGACTGACTGCATGCAGTGGGCTTTTAAAGTGAGGCTGAGCCTGCACAGAATTAGGCCAAGGATGGCAGTTGCCAGCCCTGCATCAAGGGGAGTTTCTGTGCAAAAGAGCTGTGACATGCACAGACACAAACCACTGTTCTTACATGTTTACAGGGCTTGAGGAGGAATGGGTTGGAGGTAAAGACGGTCAAACGTGTTTGGCTCGAAAGTTAAAAGATAAATGCTACATTACTCCAATAAAGCAGAACTATTCCAGTGAAAATGTGAATCTTAGATTTTGGAGATGTGGGGCCACCCAAAGCACTTGCCCACGTATGCAGTGGCATGGACCAGTGAAGCAAAGATTTTGGGTTCAGGTTTTTGCAGTGGGGTCAAACCACAACATTATCTGTAAGCTCTAATATTCAACTAAAATATAAATTGCTCCTGACTTTTTTTCTGGGCAGAAGCCAAGCTGGTCATAGCTGCTAACTGGAAACGAGCAAATTGACTTTCCCTTCTCATATGGAAACAGAAATTGAAGTGGAGAACTTACTGAGAGAGAGAAACTTGCTAAATGCTCCCCAGTACAAAGAGGCCAGTAGAATGCGGCACCTTTTTGATGGACTAAACAACTTTGCAAGACGTATGGAATGCCGAGGCATGATCTGCAAGCATGACGAGGGGTCTCTGTAGCAGATCATCTCGCCTGTGCCAAGCAGACATCCTGAGCAATCACAGTGTATTGAAATGGGCTCACATGTGCCATGCTGAGTTTTTACCTATTCATTGTCACTTTGAAAAATTCAATTAAAAGCAACGAGAGCAGGAGAAATTACCTGGATTCCATTCAACTGCTTCATTAATTCCTGAAAAGATAGAAAGAAAATATTATGAATCTGTTGTTGGCTGATATTAGAAAAAGGACTGTTGGGTGGCAGGATGGGATGGAGAGCGGAGCCGATATACTGAGTAACGCACCTACTTTGCATGCAGAAAGAGCTCCGGATCAAGCCCGCCAAAAGGTGCTCTTTGCTATCTCATACAGAGCCGAACCAAGCAGCTTTCCAAGGCAGTCCAAGGCCGCTTCCACCATGCTTCCATGGGAAGCTCATGGTGGCAGCCTGGCCCCCTGATCTCTCCACTCTTCCGGCCTGCTGTGCATGCTAAGGAGGATTCTTGGAAAGGGACTAGACTCCCATTTTCATTCCAAAGATTTTAGCTATCTTTGGTGCTACTCCCCCTCCAGAAAATCTGCTGCAGGTTAATGAAGTGCATCTCGATTCCAGAGTCATTTCAGAGATGGCTCTAGATCCGGGGGGGTGGGGAGTGGGGGGGTGTCTGGATGACGGGGTCTTCTCATACCAATCCAAAGGGTACTGGGTGCTCTTCCACCTTTCTCCCTGAACAGTTTTCCTGGTATGGAAAGGGCCGTGGGGAGACACGGAAAGGCTGCGAGTGGAAGACTTGCAAACTCTGTGAAGGACGCATGATGAAAACCACGACTGGAGGTCCTCCAGGAAGAGGATGCGGCTCATTTCTGAGGGATACAGTTCTGCCTTCCCTCAACGGAGGGAGGGGATGGCAGTGGGGAAGGAGACTGGGCCATGCCAGGCAAAGGAAGGGCCCTGCCCACAAAGGCTACTGCTAATGTCCCTTCGCCACAGCCGTGCCGTGAGAGCCAGCGTGGGGCTGTGGTGGAAAGTGTGAGGCTGGGACTCAGGCGATCAGGGTCCACGTCCCCACTCAGCCATGGAGCCAACTCGGTGACTTTGGGCCAGTCACAGCCTCTCAGCCCAGCCTGCCTCACAGGGCTGTTGTTGCGGGCATAAGGTGGCGAGCAGGAGGAGGAGAATGATGTAAGCTGCTTATAGTTCTTTGTAGGAAAAAAGGCAGGATATAAATCTAATAAATAAACAAACTGCTGAGAAGAAACTAATTTCAAAACCAAGAGGGCTACAGAGCAGCCACTGGCCACATGGGCTAGGGAGGATGGGACATGTAGTTCAAGACACCTGGCAGTCAAGGAAGGCTGCTACCACCTTCTAGCCTTCTCCTACTCACGTCTTGTCAAGACCCGAAAACCAGGGTGCTGCTCTTCACGAGTTTTCAAGCTGGGGACAGGTCAACTCCAGGCACTGCCCCCAAGGCTGCTCAGGGGCCCTTCTGGGGCTGGCAGGGGCCTCCCTCTTTCCCTCCAGCCCTGCGGTGAGATCACACACCACACTTGGCTGGAGGGCTTTCCTGTCCCTCCTCTCCAGCCCCCGCCACATCATTCCAGGAAGGCTGTAGTCCCCGGCAGGCAAATTCCAGCTTGACCGGCCAGCTCGGTCTCTGCTCAGGACGGGTCTCCTCCTTCCTGCCTGTGCAGGGCTGCGGACTCCCCTCCCGCCACACACGCTTGCTGCGCTCACATCTGCCTTGCCTTTCGCCTCGCTTTCTCTCCCTCATGGATTTCTTCATAACATTTGGATCCTGCCTTTTTCCCTGCCAGGAACTGGAGACATTTACACAGTCCTCCTGCTCCTTTCCATCTTATCTTCCCGAGAGTCCAAGGCCAGGCTGAGTCATGCACTGGCCCAAATCCACCTGGGAGGCATCATGGCCATTGGAGTCAGAACCTGCCCTCCCCAGGTCCTGGCAGCCCAGATCACCACAGTGGGACACTGCGAAAGCCTGTGGGAAGGAAGAGCCAGGGCCTCTGAGCAGCAGGAGCTCCGACCGGAAAGGGTGGGCCAGAGAGACAAAGGCCTGCTCTCAATAGTCCTGGGAGCCATTTCTGGTCCCCTGGATTTGGCAATTTACCCTAGATCTTGGTCCGGGGACCTCTGTCTTCATAAGCGGCCCATCATAGTCGAATTCCACATCAATCTTCGCTGCGGCTTGGCTGATTCCTCGGTGCCCTGGAAGGAACATTTGGGGAGCCAGTTGGTGAACACAACCTAGGCGTGCTTAGCTTGGAAGAGGCCCACAGCTGCCAGCGTCCCCCACACCCCTGAGCGTCTCTTTCTGGTTTCTAGGAAAGGTGGCAGGAGGGCAAAATGGCCCCGTTCTGGCACGGGGCAAATGCACGCTTGCTGCCCCCAGATGTCAGCCACCACCTGCTTGTCAGCGGCTTTCAGGGTATTTATTCATTTTTGGCCGTGAACTGCAGGGAGGCGCTCTGGAGAGAGGGATACTTTCTCATATTGCATTGTTCTTAGGTTGTGTTCGGATGCTTCTTCTTATGTGTATTGTTAAGCCAATTACAGTTTATATCGGATTTTTACATTACATGCTATCTAATTATTTTATAGTTGTTTTAATTGTGGATATGCGTGCGTAAGCTGCCCTAGAGCTAAGAGGAATAGCATACAAGTGTAATAAATAAACTCGAAGATCTTCCACTGGGGCCCTCCTTCAGGAGCCCTCTCTGAAGGAGGTGGCAAGAGCGGCCACCAGAGCAGGGCCTTCTCTGTGGTGGCTCCCTTGCTTTGGAACTGCTCCCCAGAGGGGCGCACTTGTGCTGATGCTTTCTTCCTCTCAGAGCTAGGCCAAAACCTTTTTATTCACCCATTATTTTAAGGGCTAATTGTTCTATTGCAGATTTTATTTATGACAGTTGTATTTTAAGGTGTCGCACTCTGATTGTAAACTGTTTTGAGATCCGCTTGAATCAAGACAGGACAGAAATGTTTTAAATAAATACATACATAAAATAAGTCATTTTAAGATTGGCTTTTGCCATGGGAAGCAATGCATACATTCACATAATACTATCGATGCAATTAATGAGCACAAAAGTGAATGGCAGACCCTGGCCGTTTGCCTCCGCCTCTCGCTTTTAAGCTCTCCAGCCCTCCCCTGGCAGGAGTATCAAGGGTTGGGCTTTATAGTCAAGGCATTCACTTTGTTGCGCTGCCAAAGGTTCAGGCGCAGCTGCCGCAAGCCAGCAGGCCTGCAGGTGCCCAGCAGCCAAGCTGCTGGACAGGTGAGCACCTGCGGAGCGGAGCCCGGCCATGGTGATGGTGCGGGGAGGGCTCATCAGGAGCAGCGCTTGGGGCCGCTCTCTTGGACGATATGAAGGGCGACACGGCCTACTCCTCATCGACGCAGCCTCATGTTTCTGACCCAGCCATGCTTCCTGCGCAGAGCCAGGGTGGCTCACGTGCATCTACTTGCCACTGTATCCTCAACAACCTGGTAGGCAGGCAGAGTCCACGATGGGCCCCCGTCACCCAGGGAGCCTCATGGCCAAGCGGGGGTTGAGCCCCCGTCACCGGAGTCCCGGCCCCGCAACCTTGCCGCGGAGCTGCATGGGCTCTCCCACGCAGCACGGGAGACTGGCGTGCTCTTTCGGCTGTGCGTGCGCGCGAAGGGGAGAGAGATGAGAGGAGCAAGGGGGCCCAGGTGCTGGGGGAGCCCTGGGGTCCTGGCCCCACACTGGGCCTGGGGTCCTGGCCCCACACTGACTGCCCAGGGCCCTGGCCTCCCTGGCGCCAGGAGGAGGACTTTTTCTCTGCTTGCCTGTTGCCGAGCCGGAAACCATTTCCAGGGGGTCTGCAGCGAGCGGGGAGGGGCTAATTCCCCCCTTTCCAAATGCTGCAACCCCCCCCCCCCCCCCCCCCCCCCCACAAATCCCCCCCCCCGGCGAAATTAATCTTTTTTTGTTGGGGGAGCACGGGGGAGGGGTGTGTAGTGGGGGGGGGGGGCTGAAGGGTGATTTGCCCAAATCCCTGTTTTGCTACAAAGCCTGCTGGCCAACCCTGGCTTTCTCTTGGCCAAGCCTACCTCACAGAGTTGTCGCAAAGGAGATAAACTGGCATAACCTATAACATGTGCCACCCTAAACACATTAATGGAAGGGCAGGCATTCAAGAAGAATTATATCCCACTTTTTTCCTCCGCTTGCATGGTCTTTGGCCTTTCCATTTCATCTCCACAACAACCCTGCAAGGTAGAGCAGGTCAAGAATCAGTGGCTGCCTGCCTGCTAAGCTCTCTGGAGTCCCAGTCCAGCATGCCAACCTTTGCACCACACAGGCTCTCAAGGCGACTCTGACGCCGTAAGACCCCTAAGGTTTTACTGGCACGCAGTCCTTCTCCTCCAGGTCCTCAGAAGGCTCATCTGCACCAAACCACCCCGGGAGAGGCAGGACTGGGGATGCTTCCAAGAATCCATCCTGGCCCCGTGCCCTTGGCCACCATTGCGAAAGGGATCTGAGAGCCCCAAGAGTGACAGCCTGAACTGTTAGGCATTGACCAGAAAGCAAATAGCCCTTGCGTCATGTTCTGGAAACTGAGCCTTGTTTATGGGATGCTTGCAGGGTAACGTCAGAAGCTGACGAGGCTCAACGAGAGGCAGAAGCGGCTTCTCGCACGCCACGGCCTCCTTCCCCGGCCCAAGGCATTCTGCGGCCTCTTTCAAGGCTTCAGGCAGGAAGGGAAGAGTCCAGTTCTGCTCATGGGACGTCATTTTGTGTATCTGGCCTGGCAGTTACGCAAGGCAGAGAACATGCAAGAAGCTACGGAAGCTCACAACGAAGCCTGCGCTGGGCACCGAATCCAAGAGGCCAGAAGGGAGCCACAAGCCAGCCAGACTTTCAGGGGAAACTGCAGCAGCTAAGTGGACACGGCAGCCGAACTGCACCTCAAGAAGGCCTCGGCCAAGAGGTGCTTCTAGGTGCTGCGCCAGGCTTGGTCACTTCTGCAGCAAGGGGACAAGGCCGCCAGCCTACCTTGTAGGGCTGCTCTGAGGAGTCCCAAGGCAAGGAAAGCCAAGCACTTTGGACAATTGAAAGCACCCGCCCATCCTGTTGCCCCCTGGACAAGATGGGCTGCACCTTCCAGCACCCCGGAGAAAGGCAGGGGAGGGGGACCTCCAGGGCGAGGGTTTTGAGTAGCCCAGCTACTTCCGAGAAACACTCGTGGTCATCCCAAAGGCAAGGGGAAGTCCTGGGCTGGGAGAGGGGATGAGCAGTGGATGGGCTGGGCCTGCGGGCTGTTGTGAGGGTGAAAGGAAAAGGATGAGGAGGATCATTTTGTCATTCACGAAAAACAGCAGAGTATAATATAATGACTGTAAAAAATAATAAAATAAAATAACGTTGATGCATGCATCCACACTGCTGTTTATCTGGCTCTGGACTTTCTACAAGCTTCCCTCCATATCTGTGAGCTGAAGTCGAGGATGGGCAACCTCTGGAAGCCAGAGCAGTCACCTTGCCCCAGACCCACAGGGAGTTGCACCCCTACCCGACTGCCCAAATGGTTACTGCCACCACATTTCTTCCAGTCCCCCCCCCCCCCGCTATCTTCCTGGGAACAAGGAATGGTTCGTGAGCAGAATCACACTCAATAGAATCCTATTTGCATGGATAATTCCCACGAAGGTGGCGGCAAGGGCAAGGGCCAGATGTGTGAGGTGCGCAGGCGGGTCTGAAGCCTATGGCAGCCTTTCCCACTCTGGTATCCTGCAATAGTTCAGGGCTTTGTCTCCCAACCTTCCCACCCCAGATGGCCCATACCAGCATCTAAACCATCTGTGAGGTTCATCAGGTTGGGGAAGACCAAGCCGCAGGGTGCACGGATGAGCCAGGCCCTGCGATGCCAAGCTGAATGTGTGAATGAACTCCAGGGTACATGCCATGTGTTGGGAGGTACGCTGGGAGTTCTTGCTGTGGGGTTATAAACGGATGGTCCCGTTCACGCATGCAAGCCACCAGCTCCTGGGCACCAAGTGCTGATCACACCTGCGTGCAGGGAAGACAAGTAGTGTACTTGTATGTCAGAATCATGGCCAAACATACAGTGACCTGAGTGATGCACAGGCATGCGAAGCAACCCGCAGCACGCACTGGGAAGGGAACCACTCCGAACGTGCGGTGTTTCTCATCTCAGATTCCCAGGGAAGCGCACTCGCTCGATCCTCCTCGCAAGGGTTCCCTGCCTCTGCATTCTGCTGCTCGCATGGGGCAGAAGCAGCAGCAGCTCCTCCCCAGCCTGGATATGCGAAGGAGGAGGAAGGGGGCAGAGTTCCAGTGGGGAGGAGAAGGGCATGCCTGACGCAGGCTGGCACCCCAGGAGCACTGCTGTGCCGAGCATTTTCCACAGCTCGGCACAGCCTGCGTGTCCCTCTGTTTACGCAACGCCGATAATAAGCTAGCAGATCGCTGCAGAAACAGAGCCATATTTCCCACCCCTGCTGTAATATTGATCCTGCGTGTTCCAAATGGTTGCAACACAGCACACAGAGAGAGTAATTCATTTTAAAAGGGAGAATCGATACTTAAAGCAGATAGCTGTTCAATTGGCGTTTGGACAGGAAAGTATTTGGGCATTCCACTGTACGACCCTGTTAAATGGGTGCTCTGTCTTTTAAAGTGTTTCAGAATGCTTTGCACATGGCCTGTGGTTTTCAAAAAACTTCAGGATTGGCCGCAGAACCAGCCCCCTGCACAGGTGCTACAGAACCCCGCGTGTGGCATAGAAGACTCCAGGGAGCTTTCCAGGGTGCTGCACATATCGTTCCCCTGGCATGGCGGGGCTGGTTTGGACTCTTTGTCACTCCCAGTGAATTAAGGAAGTCCCATAAGCTTCTGAGGAACACCTCCCCTCACCCTGCTCCCTGGAAAATAGTTTCCAGAACCCCCATCCTGGCCTAATATCCTCATTCTGTTCTGCATGATTTCCTCCACTCACCAGCTGCAAATATCCTTGAATTCTGCTGCAGTGAACACATTAAATGTCGGCTCAGCAGCATCAATGCCATTTCCCTTTTCTTCAGTCAAGGAAAACAATCAAATTTTCTTTTTCCTCCAGGTGATGACCTGCTGGGTGAGAGAGAAGGGAGTTTGAAAACACAGCCAAAGTCATTTCTACTTGGCCAGAGATCATGAAGCTCAGAATAAGCTTCTAATCGGTGTCCTTTCCTTAAAAAAAGGAAGTAGGCACACATTAAATTAGGATCCACCTTTGCCTGATTCTTCAGTACCGCTGTGAAGCAAATTCTTGAGCTGCTTCTCACTCAGACTGAGCCATGCAGAATGTGGAGCCTTTCCAGACTCAGGCAGATGTGTGACCAGCACGGTTTTCACTGGCTGGGGCAGAAGCTCTGCTGGGCTTGATGGGGCCCTAGCCAAGGAGGCCCTGGTGATAGCATCCTCCCACCCTGGTTGCTGCCCAGTGGCTGCCCCACAGTCTCCTCCCCTGGGCCCTGCTTGCTGCCCCGCTTCCTGCCCCCCTATCTGGTCGCTCTGCTCACTTTCTCCTACCAGTTTACCTAACCCTTTCAGTGATGCGTTGGCTTGGGTGAATGACTGATGTTTTGAAAGTGTCACCATTCAAAAGCCCAGTGCTGTCAAGTGCTTGTGGAAAACCCAAGTCAGAGAAAAAGAAATCCTTCTCCACAAGTGTGGCGCCTGATAATCTTCCCCCACACGACCCCTGCTGCAACGCCCCAAGGAGGGATCTGCAGCGGATGCTGCAGGTGCAGCCAGCAGGCTAAACTGAGGGAAACGAGCAGGGCCACGGGGCCCTTGCACCAGAATCCCCCAGGGAGCACCTTTCCCCTTCCCCCGCCTCTCTTTTTCCCTTTTGTGCCATATCCGTTTCGATTCCAAGCCTGCAGTTAGAGGTTGCCTTGTTTTGGTGACTGCACAACACTCTCTGGAAATCCTTCTGGCTGAGAACCAGGATAAACACTTTAATGAATAACGATACCCAGTAACATAGAAACAGACACGGAGACCTCCTCTGGTGGATGTGTAGACACCCTTCTCCCTGCAGTGCATGCCACTGCTGAAAATGCCTGCCCCTGGGATCCCGCTGCACACGCCTGCTCCACGTGCTGCGGAAGTCGATGCCACCTGCCCAGAAACACCTCGTGGGCTGATAAGAGGCTTCCGAGGAACACCTGTCCCCAGCCATTCCTGCTTGGCTGCCGCCCGGGATACTCCTGCTCCATAGCACTGCTGGCGCCTGGCCTTCTGGGCCTGACCGTGAGCACACCCCACCTGCCCACGGACTGGATTTTATGGCTGGATACCACTCTGCTCTGAGCACCGTCATAGTGGAGAGCAGCAGACAATCACCGCGAACAGGTGGATAAGGACCTTGCCCTGCACCCACCTGAAAGCCAAGCAAGCACGTGCAAAGGTGCCTTGCAGGCAGGTGCAGGAGCAATGGCCAGGTGTGCCCTCTTCCTGCCTCCCAGGACTGGCTGGGCTCCAGAGAGACGGGACTGCAGCGCCCAAGAATCCAGCCAGCATGCGCTCTGTGATGCCTTCGTGGTGCAGGCGCACGCGCAGGCTGTGCTGGACGGCAGGAACCGCCACAGTGCGGAGGGACACAGAAAGGGGGGCAGACAATGGTGTGATCACTAGTCAGAGAACATCACTGCCCAGCACACCTGGGGACAAAAGGGCGGTCCCTGCTTTGGAGGGCACTACCAGGAACACTCCTGGTCCAGGACCCACTTGCTAGATGACCCTGGTCCAGCCACTTTCTCTCGGCCTGGCCTACCTCACAGGGCTGTTGCAGGACAACTATAAGGGAGCAGGAAAGGCATGAGCGCCAGGAAGGCAAGGCCATACAAGGCAGGCAGGCGGGTGGCTGTGCAGAAGCAGGGCCCAGCGCTCCCTGCCAGCATCTGCATCTGGCCCGTTCCCGGCAAGGAGGATGCTTTGAGGGCGAAGCACAGGCAGGAAACAGACACAGGCTCTGGTCTGGGTCAGGAGCTCCATGCCCAGCCAGGGAGGTTTGGATTTTCCCTCCCTCACCTAAATTTGCCCTCCTGCTGCCTCGGTGCAGGGGCTGATAAAAGGGGGAAAAAAACCTCCACTGGCATCAGTGGAGATTTCCTTCATCCTTTTTAAATAACCTGAACCAGTGCAAGATGCTCAGAAACAGACAGACTGACCAACAAACAGGATTTCAGCAGCGGGTGCAAATGCGCCTCATACAGGGGTTCCACCAGGAGGTTTACGGTTACCTTGCATTTATTTTTAGTTGTGTTCTAAAACCATAGAAAGTTTTATAAAATGAGAGACACTTTAGTTTCAAGCACAAGTACTCTCGGTATCAAACAGATATTACATCACATTCATACGAGCGGAACTGCCTGTCTCAGACTGGGATGTTTCTCCCAAGTTATTTGTCTGGCTTTTGCTGTTCCTTGAAACTGGTCCCTCTTGGAGTAACATCAACACTGCCCAGAGAATTAAAGAAGTCGATCTGAAATGCTGGCAGTGCTCGCTTGCCTTGCTTCCTGGCTGGCTGGCTGGCTTTCATATCTCAGACTGAACTCAATCGATCGTTCCTTGAGGGGTTGTTAGCCACATGCTGTTTGTGTGAGGCATTTTCCTCCACTCTTGGTGTGTCCTGCACAGTCTGGCAGGATGCCCTACTCTGTGCGAAAGGCCATAAACTGCCACAGGTCACAACAGCAACGCACGATGCCTGAGACGGCTAAACCAGGCTGCTTGCAAGTGCCCCATGCCCACACAGAAGGCAGGGCCTGCAGTTGTGGGGACAATAACCACATTATTATTGGATTATTATTGCATGTATTGATATTTAATTAATGATGATTAAATTGAGATGTCCCTTCCCATGGCAAAATGTAGCCTCAAAGTGAAGTACGCACAGAAATACAAGGAGCCAGATTTAAAAGGCAGCCACCCCCGAGAGGAGCCCCAATCAGCACATTTGCACACACAAACCCCCTGGAGAAGACAGCAAAGTAAGTGCTCATCCACAGTGTGGAAAACCGCCCTGCACTTCACAGCTTACAGTGAAACTTGGGAAAAAATGGCCGATTTGCCTGGTGCCCAAACAAATTTATCCATGTGTCCAGGGCTGCTCTTCCAGATCATTTTGCAGCGCAACGCAGAGCTACCTGCTTTCCCATCCCACTCCTAACCTCCCAGGCCAGGCCCAGTTCAGCTGCCAGAAGCGGAAGATGACTCACGGGCCACCCTGAGGCAGCCCTTCCAAGCTTCCTCGCGACACCGTTCCGAGCCTCGGGGGCTGGTCAGCAGCCCCAGTTGTGCAATTTGCCATGGAGGCCGAAGACACAGCGATCAGTGGCTGATCACTCTGGCCTCCAACAGCCTCCATGAACCTGCACTCACCAAATGCGCCAAACGTCAGCTCCCATCATCCCCAGCCAATACAGACCTGGGGTCATGCTGCATCCCACATTTGATCCTCTGGCAGGAGGCCCGGGGGCTCGTGCGTCCTCCCTCAAGAGCCCTGTGAGGTGGGCTAGACATGCCCAGTCACCCCGCAGCAGCTTGCTTCGCCTCCTCCTACACGCTGACGGGCTCAAAGGACCACCCCAAGCAGCGCTGCTTGCCATGCCATGCAAGCTCAGCCCGTGCGGCTTGTGGCCATGGCCCCATGTCCTGCGGCTGGGCTCTGGGCAGCAAGCTAGCCGTGGCCACATGCCCCCGTGGCAGGGTTCACAAGGTATTATGAGCCATGCTGGAGGGCAACCATACTGATCTCCTCTCTCCACAAGCCAGGAGAGCTGGAAGGAGAAATACATCATTTTCCCTCCGGGGCTGCATGAACCAGGTCAGCAAGGGCCCCCGTCATGCAGTGAGCTTCACGGCTTAGAGGGGGTTAAAAGTGGTCTCCCCAGACCCAGCCTGACACTCAGAGCACTCTGCTGTACCGCCCAGAGCTGCAGCCCACGAGCAAGACTGGGCCAGCCTGCCTGTCATCCCCAGGCCATATTCTGAGGTTTGGCCAATTTCTGGAGCAAGTTCTCTCCACCTGGCCCACCTCAGGAGCCTGCCACCACCTCATCTGCTCTTTCAAGGCCTCTCAGGGCCCATCATGCCAGGCTGGCTGGGAATTGTAGTCCAGCAGAACAGGAGAGGCCAGGCCAGGGAAGATGGCTTGAGCATCACAAGACAGAGATGGGGGCAGCTCTGAAAACTTGTCTATTTACATCCTGTTATGTTTTAGATGGAAAAGAGAGACCAAACCTGTAGCACTCTTTCACATGCATAATATATGCACTCCTTTTCAGAGATCGACAAGGACGACTTTAGTTGACTTTGAAATACGGAAGTGAAGATTATTTTGTTCCAGCCAGGGCAATCTTGCTTGCCCACATGGTTTGCACGGAGCATTTTGCAAATGCCTTTGGTGACAAGCAAGTACGACCAACCAAGACGCAAGTCACCGCTTGAGGCTGCCGTCCATCAAGCAGTGAGTGGCAGCGGCTGTTAATTCGTAGCAACGAGCCTCAGAGAAAGAATCCCAGATCATACTCGCCCCAATCCATATTACAGCCAAGGGTATGCAAAAGATAGGCCTGCGCTACAAAAATTAGGATATGCAAAAATCATGTTTGCATGCAGGCGTGTGCCATTCACAGACACAAGATGCAAACCTGCTTTAATAAAATCTGAACAGCCGCAGCTCTTTTCCTGCTCTCGGAGAGAAAATGCAGTGGCTTTGTGTGCCCCAGATGGGTTGCCATGGCAGTCAAGATGGGGCAGGAATACAAGAGCAAGGGACAAACCAATGAGGGGGAAGCGATTCGGGAGCGGCTTTTGTGCCTTGCATTTTCTGACAGCTCTTCAGCTGAGCTATTACAGGGTTGCTGTAGTAACCAGTGAGAGGAAAACCAGCAAGGAAATGTGTAATTATTAGGCATGCAATAGTGAGAATTAGTCAATCTGGTAACCAGAAGACCATAGAAAAGAATAAGCTCTGGGTACAGTTTTTCAAAAATGTGAAGAGAACAGGAATACAGGGAAATATGGAATTTGTGGGATTCCACTGGCTCGACTTAGGAATATTTAGAAATGTTCAAAACAGAG